AAATGGATTCTTTGTGCTCACAAAGTTTGCACTAGCTTCACACACTGGACCCTGTGTTACATTGTATTAGTCTGTCTCCTGCATGCTCTGACTGTGCCAGTCAGCAAGAGCTCATATGCAGAACAAAGCACACTCCACCAGTGGCCCATAAACAGCACCTTTATCAATAAAATGCCCAGTATTGTGGGCAGTTATTGTTGTGAATTGTTTCTATCCCTAAGCAGTCCTGTATGTGGCAGCGTACTTGTGCCCATAAATGCAAATGTCCTTCAAAGTGATCAACTTACTGTGCTAACAGTTATTAAATATTAAAACTGTCTGATAAATGTAGAATGAACCCATGTGCTTGCATTTGAGACACACACATATGTTCACTTACATGTGCGTGCGCACACATACACACACACACACACACACACACACACACACACACACACACACACACACACACGTCACCCTGTAGAATATCAGCAAGGACGTTAACAAGGCCATAAAGCCACCAGGAAGAAAAAGCAAAATAGTGTATTAGTCACTATGGAAGGGAGGGTTTATTATGGTTCAAGGTTGGAAGCTGCATTCTATCAGGATGAGGAAGCCATGGCAGCAGGACCCTGAAGCAGCTCATGTTGTGTCCACAGCCAGGAAGCAGAGAGCAGGGGATGCTGTTGCTCAGTTCACACTCTCCCTTTATACAGTCTGTGCCCCCAGCCCATGGGACAGTGCTGCCCACATTCAGGTTCAGTTTTCCCAAGGCACTGAACTCGGTCTGGAAACTCCTTCACCTATGTGTCCCCTCAATCTGACAGTCAATATTAGCTATCTAGGTGACATGGTGTACAACATGGGAGAGTTGCAGGGAATTTTGAAAGTGACAGATAGTGTGGTACATGGTTGGTGTACACTAGGAGTCCTGCAGAGGGACAGATCCCTGAGGAGAATGGAAGGCTGTCCTGAAGCCCTGAAGTGGCAGCAACCTAGACTGATCCATCTCTGAAAGCAAGGGCATCTGGAAACCAGAGGCAGTTGGAGATTCCTCTGAGGAATGGTTAGACTCCGTGCTCTGCCCTACCTCAGAAGTTTAGAAAGGCCCTCCCTGATAGAGGAGGCAGAATGCCGTGGAAGAGGGACCTTACAACCTAACCAGACTGTATTTTCCTTTTCAGTTGTCCACCCCATTTCTGACATTGGTTTTATGCTATACTTCCTATGAGGCATGCTCTAACTTGTTTTTCTGCTCCCTTCATTACAGCCTTAAGATCCTTGCCCGTTTAATGACGGCTAAATTCTTGCATACAGAAATTCGAGAAAAGGGAGGTGCTTATGGTGGAGGTGCTAAACTCAGCCACAGTGGGATTTTCACACTGTACTCTTACAGGTGAGTTTCTGGGTTGTCATGTTTCCCAGCCACTGGCTCTGTTCATCACGATGTCACAGGTCTATGTGAACATTAGTGCAACGAAGGTTACATCTGTTTATTTGGTCCTCATCTTGGTCAACTAACCACTATATCTTTCTTGTGGCAAGGCGCAGACACAGTGGTATAAGGGCTGTGTTGTTGTATAAATTAGACACAACTCTAGCTTCATAATTAGCATCTTTTGGTAGAATGGGTTCTGAACTTTCTTCCGTTGGGGGAACCTTCTGATGGGTTTTCACAGGTGTGAGTCTGTTACCATTTTCTGTAAGTGTTAGTCTCTCAGGCACTATTTCCTGAAGCATTGTATGCCAATGTGCTAAGAACAGGGCTTGCCACTGATGTCATTCCCCTTGTCCCTGACTGTCTCACAGAACTGCACTTTAGACAGGGAGAGTCCCACTGACAAATCTCAGGTCTTCCATAGTGAACCTAAAAAGCTAAGAAGAGCTTTTGGCACAAGAAAGTACTCCAGAAATTCCCCCAACTCTAGCTCACTTCTGGCTTATACTGAGTCTGTCCTGGGAAAGTAAGGGCTAGTTTAATGTGTATCGTCTCCATGGCTCTTCTATAATGCCTTAGTATTCCTGACCCCCCCACCACCACCATCCATGTAACTTCCCCTCTAAGATGAAGTCATAGTTGAGCAGTGAGGTAAGCAGGTGACTGTGGTATTAAATATAGAGGGAGTGTGTCATCAGTCTTCCTGGATCAGATTTACATTTCTCCAGAGGCATTGACTATCAGGAAAAAATTAGAGCTGTTAAACTTGCATGATTATCATGGATCCCCCCCCCAGCCACCCCCAATATAATGCTTCAGTGCTGACTCTTTGGGTTCCAGGGATCCAAACTCCATAGAAACACTCCAGTCTTTTGGGAAGGCCATAGATTGGGCTAAATCTGGAAAGTTCACACAGCAGGACATCGATGAAGCCAAGCTTTCCGTTTTCTCTGCCGTGGATTCTCCTGTTGCTCCATCGGATAAAGGTATTCTAAATCCTAGTAACCTGGGTGCATGCTTTTCCCCTGGGGGCAGAATTCCAGACAGTTTTCTTAGTCATGTGTCTCTGACTCACATGAATGAAACACAGTAGCAACTGTGTTCTTGCAGTTTCTCCCATCTCTCTGTCCTGTGTGTTCACACTTGAAGACCTGGACATTGACCTTAAAAACAGCTTCATCAGTAAAGTATGAGTTAAACAGCAAATCAGACCTGCGTTGAATCCACGTAAAAAGCCAGGCACGGTGGTAGGTACCTCATAATCTCAACACTAGGAAGTTGAGGACAGGTAGATCCTTGAGGCTCACCAGTCAGACTGCCACACACACACTTCACTCTAGGCTGGTGAAGAAGGGTCTTCCTCAAAAACCAAGGTGGGTGGAGTGATACAAGGCTCAGCAAGTAAGAGTGATTATTGCTCCTGCTAAAGATGTGGGTCTGGAGCTTAGCATCTGACTCTGGGAGTTCACACCCATTTGTATCTTGGCTCTCGGGATCTGACAGCTAGTTGGGGTAAATGAAGACATTTTGACACAGCACAAGACTGGCCACCTCATCATTCAATAATGCTTGTATTTGTGGTACTCCTACCCATGTGACCTGTACTGATTCTTCATCCATACTCCTGGAAAAGGCAGTTTATAATGGGTTTGGTACTATTTTGTAGAGATGGATGTCAAGTTTGATCTTTCTTGCCCATGTAACCTTTTTGATTAAAGAACATACAGTGTCATAAAGTGACATGAGTGTCCCCGCTATACTTTGAGCACAGAGGTCCCTGTACAAGCCATCTCCCTAGCCATACCTGTGGTTTAACTTTTAGGAATGGACCACTTCTTGTATGGCCTCTCCGATGAGATGAAGCAGGCATACCGAGAACAGCTCTTTGCTGTCAGCCATGACAAACTGACCTCTGTGAGCCATAAGTGAGTATGTGTGCCCTGGCTGTCTGGGTTAGCTGGGGGAAGGGAAACTCAGAAAGGTAAAGCCCCCCTGTTGACCACTAAAAATGCTTCAACTAGAAAACAGTCCAATGTGCCATCTCCCTTGTAGGTACCTTGGCATCGGGAAGAGCACACATGGCCTGGCTATACTCGGACCAGAGAACTCAAAAATTGCCAAAGACCCATCCTGGCTCATAAGATAATGAGTCTTGCACATTTCTGAGTATATGTAAGAAATCAGAGACCCTTAAAAACTAAGCCTCTGAACTGAATTTATTTTGAATGATCACAAGTGTTACTGTTTGAGTGTTGTTCCAAAAGTCATAGTTGTATCATATTAAAAATCTGACCAAAGATGTTTATTGACCTACAAGTTGAGCAGAAACTCTTAAGGAAATACTGTGACTATGACGAAATTAATTAAAATTATCATGCATCAGTGACAAAGGTGAACAAATTAAAATTTTGAAATGTTACTAAGCCTAGACCATGTATTTTAAAAGTAAAAGTCGTTCTTAAAAAAAAAAAAAAAAAAAAAAAAAAAAAAAAAAAAAGGGGGGGAGGGATTTGGTGGCGCACGCCTTTAATCCCAGCGCTCGGGAGGCGGAGGCAGAGGCAGGCGGATCTTTGTGAGTTCGAGGCCAGCCGGGTCTCCAGAGCAAGTGCCAGGACAGGCTCCAAAGCTACACAGAGAAACCCCGTCTTGAAAAACCAAAAAAAAAAAAAAAAAAAGAAAGAATGAATGAATATTCATTTGGAGAAATAGCTCAGCAGCTAAAAGCACTTGCTGCTCTTGCAGGAGTCCAGGGTTAAGTTCTCAGAACCCATATAGCATCTCACTACCATCTGTAACTTGTTTCTGGGAATCTGATGTCCTCTTCTGGATCCGAAGAGCAAACACTGAATGCATTTGATGCATGGCATACATGCAGGCAAACATTCATACACACAGAATAAATCATTTTTTAGAAGGAACACAAGAACAAACATAGAATCTGCATGGTGCGTGTGTGATCACACCACAGGCCTGAAGCAAAGTGCAGATTTGAGTCCCACAGGGCTCTCCAGTTAGCATCCCCCTCAAGACCTAGTTGCGGTAATGCTAACTCAAGCCTTTGCCCTCTGTCTTCAATGAATATCTGTTTCTTTTATTATTTTGTCCTCAAACACAGTTGACTTTTAAGTCACTCCCTGCCTCTGTAAAATTTTCCACATTACTGCTGTGTAGATATCTAGAGGATGCCTTAGGTAGAAGTGAGAACACCTAGACTAGGGGCAGGAGGCAGGTGTGCTTTGCCTTGTAGATGACTCCTCAGTTTAGGGTCTGAAGTGAAGAGAGGCTATTGCCTAGGACCCCATCATTAACCCTTATGGTGAGTTATTAGAGTCTTTCAGGGGGTGAAAGCCCAAGTTCCACTCAGAACCACTGCTTTTGGAGAAGCTGGTGTCGTATTGTCCTTCAAAACCCCCTTGGTGGCTTTAGTGTACAACTAGGGCTGAAATCGAGAATATAAGGTATGTATCACTGGTTCACACTTGTCATTTTAAAATTCTATACTTGATCTCATTTTACAAGAACAACTAGCTAAGAGTAGCGATGTGCATTTAAATAACTGAAATCAGAACTCGGGAGTTAATAATGTTCTCCACCTAGATGATCATCAGCATTAGAGCCAGATAAGTTCAGGTCCCAGACCAGCACTGTACGTCGGAGGGGCAGATGGTTTCTGTTATGTCGGAGTTGCGGATAGGTGGGAGAGCATGTGAGAAAGATGACAATCCGCATTAGGTAAGCATGTGGAGGTCAGAGGTCAGCAGACTTCCTGTGGTGTCCTTCATCAAGCATCATCCACCATGTTTTGATTTGTTTGCTTTGTATTTTGACACAGGGTCTCTCACTATGCAGTCTATGACTGGCCAGCACTCCGGAGGTCTGCCTGTCTCTGCTAGTGCATGCACTACACTTTCCTTATTTAATGGGTTGTGAGCCTCAAGCTCAGGTCCTCTGACCCATCCCTTTCAGTACAGCCTCAGAGGCGTCCCACGTTCACTTAACGCAAACAGCTGGTGTTTATCATAGCGTTCTTCTCTGCCCTCCTTTCATGACTATATTTACATAATCCCTATCTACACCCCTGCCCCAGAGTATCTAAGGAGACATTGCTAACCTCTGTCCACAAAACTTCTGAGGAAACCCTTGGTAGCAAGGAAAAAGATTCATGAGGTTTCAAACTCTTAAGTTAAAACTTAAAATAAAGTGGGTACCATGGGAGTTGTAACCAAATATTTAATTCCACGAGATACACACATGGTAAAATGCACAAGACAGGTAGAAAACTGACACCCGATCAAGCACATGAGGCTGGGTTTCATTTCTCAGTGGTTATGGCAAGTGGTGCTCTCTTGATTATTACTGCAGACAATACTTGGTCAAGAATACTTGCATAAAGTGCTGATAAATAACTATGTTACAAAAAGCATGGTCCCCCGGGGAACGTTACAGGCGTCCCTGGACAAGTGTGTAGGTCAGGTGATAGCATGCTTGATCAGATGGCTGCCGGTTCTCCATCGGAGGTGCCCTGATTGGGATGCAAGGGCTCCAGCTTGCCTGAATCAGACACATCATAGCTCGTCTTGTACTTGGCCAAGATCTTCATGAGAGGCCGCAGTTTCAGCCACCACTGCTTCTTGGGGATCCGGTGCCTGTCAGAAAGATAAACCATCGGGTATTGTATGTGTACTGGAAAACAACTTCTGACTGCAACAGGCTGCTGGGGGACTGAAAAGATGAACTTTGTGGTCACCTGAAGAAATTTGGGTGTTATGGCAACTGTATTTAATTTCAAGACAAAGTCTTAGTATGTAGCCCAGGGTGACCTTAAGCAGGCATCCTTTAGTTTGTAAGTGAATACTAGGATGACAAGTATCACCACCATACCCTGTGTGTGTGTGTGTGTGTGTGTGTGTGTGTGTGTGTGTGTGTGTGTGTGTGTGTGTGTGTGTGTGTGTATACTGTATGTGTGTGCATGTGTGTCTCTGTGTATGTATTTATGCATGTGTATGTATATATGCGTGTATGTCACTGGAGATTGAACCTAGGGCCCCATACAACTAGGTGAGTGCTCTACAGCCAGCAATGTCCTTAGACCTTTATATAGTTAGTGTTTTGAAGCAAAGTCTCACCCTGTTGTCCAATCTGACCTTGAATTTAGAATTGCCCTAAATCAGCCTCAGTGCTGGGATTGCAGGCCTGTTCCACCACACCCCACTGCACAGAGCAATTTCCACAGGTCAGCTGAAACTATTACTTCTATTTTTAAACATTTGCTCTAGTGTTACACACACACACACACACACACACACACACACACACACTCTTACCTAGCTTCAGAAAAGCTCATATATTACCTAAGACAGTTCAATAAGTGAGTTCCATATGGTAACCAGAGTAGCACTGGATCTGTCCTCAGAGCTGCTAGTTCTCATCCCTTCTCATGATGACATTTAGATAAGGAATATTTTATGGACTTACTCAAAATCAGCTTCTTTCTTCAGTTGTTCCACTGGTTGAAACAGGAGGTCTCTTTTGCTTATTCCCAGAACACAAATGGAATCATCGTCAACAAACTTTTTCCCTGTGAAAGTTAAAATAAGAAATCTAAGAAAAAATACTCAGTGTAGGAAAGATAAGACAGTGAAAGTTGAGAAACCATCAGAGAGCGTATCTGTATTGAGGAAGAACTGCAGCTCTTCGGAGGCCTTTTGAAGAGCACCAGCTCAGTGCAAAGCCCAGTGCAGGTGTCGAGCACTCCTGAGAAATAGTCCAGTCTCTTGAGGGGACCTCTAGGACCAGGGTCCTTCCCAGACTGCCAACACATCTCTGGTCTTTGAGCTCTGTCTTCTTAGGTACCTTCAAGGTTCCTCCAGGATGGGGTACAAAGAGACTTAGATTGTGCTGGGGCCTTCTTTATGTCACACACCCAAAAAAGAGCCCTTTACCTGCTTCCCACATACAGTACACCTTCTGTATATTGGCCATCAGTGGGAGAGGTTCCTGGAAAGGAGCATTTTATTATATATATACAGTGTTCTACCTGCATGTCAGAAGAGGGCACCAGATTTTATGATAGATGATTGTGAGCCAACATGTGGTTGTCGGGGATTGAATTCAGGATTTCTAAAAGAGCAGCCAGTGCTCTTAACCTCTGAGCTATCTCTCCAGCCTTGCGAAGGAGCATTTTATAGTGTCAAGTATTTCACTAAATGGCATAATAAGAAAAGATGATCAAATTGCAGGAAGATGTCACTTTAATAATAAATGTTCAAGGACAAACTGGGAAAGGAAACCTAGGTGGAAAGAAATAATACAGGAGTATGAAGTGATGTAGAAAAATTATCAAGAGAAAAAAAAGGGCAGAGTTAGGATTTCGAAAAAACTAAAAGTCAGTTGGAACTATTTATATCCATTTTGTAGAGTGCCACTTTTGTGAGCCTCATGTTGGTCAGTGTATAAGTCTATTCTGATGAAAACACATCTGGTATGATTGATCAAGAAGCCTGGGGTGGGAAGAGGATGTCAAAAACCCTGGTGCCAATAGTTACTATGAAAAGGGAACAGGATCTAAAACTGCAGACCTCAAAAAATTTCATGTAAATTCTTGACAATGTAAATGATTTTAAACTATCCTAGAAAACATGTTACAAAAATTATCCAAGAAGAAAAAAAGTGTGCACTTTCCTTAAGCATGAATGAAATCCATTTAGCATTCAAATCTTTCCATAAAGGAAACCAGAGGTTTTGACAGATGGTTTCACAGGAAGGGTCTACCAAACACAGGAAAGCTAAACTCCCATGTTGCACCAACTATGAGGGAAGCCCCCTGCCTCCTTCATTTTCAAATGATCCTGTGGAAAATACTAGTGGGGAAACAGCTGACAGATGTTTTTTCCATCACCAAAACAAGTGTCCTACCCAAAGAATTGGAATATCTGAGAAGTCTGGGTGTCAGTCATGGGCCAAGTGGGCATAAAGGAAACCAGTGTGCCTGTAAGTGAGCAGAGGTGAATCTGTCTTATAGCCTACGCTAAGATACATCTGAGGTAGGTGCAGGGGGGAGGGAGGGACCTCAGACACTACAGCATACTGAGTCAGAAAACTTGGAGATACCAAGAGTTAGCTGGTCTTAGCAGTTAGCATTTCCATCATCTGTGTTCATCAATGTGTGAACAAGACCATCACAAAAGTACAGAAACACACCCTTCCTCCAGATAATCTAAAAAGCTGAGCTGAATTACACCTTGAGATGTATTCATTTCATAGTGACATTTTAGAATCTAGAAGAAATCAAAAGAATGGCTATCATAAAATCCCAAGGTTAGCTCTGGAGGAGAGAATAAAATATTGAAGAAAGACACTATCTAATACCACAGCCAAACATTAGGTAAAGAGAGAGCCCAAATGGGAAAATGCCATCAACCAAGTCCCTCCCCTTAGAACATGGGGAATTCTGCAGAAGATGGGGAGAAAGAATTGTAGGAGCCAGAGGGATTGAAGACACCAGGAGAAAAAGGCCCACAGAATCAACTAACCAGGGCTCAAAGGGGCTCACAGAGACTGAAGCAGCAATCACTGAGCCTGCATGAGTCTGTGCATATATGTTTTGGTTGTTAGCTTGGATGTTTTTGTGGGACTCCTAAAAGTGGAGGTGGGAGGTATCTCTGACTCTTTTGCCTGCTCTTGGAACCTTTTCTACTCACTGGGTTGCCTCACCCAGCCTTGATATGAATGTTTGTGCCTAGTTTATTATATCTTGCTGTGCATGCCATGTTCAGTTGATATCCCTGAGAGGGAGTGGATCTAGGGGAGAGGAAAGAGGGGGAAGGGAGGGGAAATTGTCATCAGGAAGTACTGTATGAGAGAATAAAAAAATAAATACATAAATAAAAAACAATATTTAGGGTTTGAAGGAGGAAAATAGGACAGAGGCCTCCCAGTCAGTTATGCATATTTCTCACCCTTTATGTTAAAGTTATCTGTGAAGCAAATCAATGAATAACTGTTATATAGCCTAAGTAAAAGGACCCTGAATGTGTTTCATGACACCAGAGACATAAATAAAAGCTACATTTTACAGTCTTGCTACTGGCGAGCAATGTGTGCCCAGCAATCTTCTGGCTAACAAAAATGCTACCAGCAGAAATAAAACATTTATTTTTGTTAATGATGTTTAATTATAACCTTGGGAAGTCATAAATGGTATTCAGTACTCATGGGCAAGGAAGGATAAGATGGTATGCTGGGCATCTCAATGGCAGATTTAAAGGAGAAGGAAAAACATCATAGCTTTTATAACACAGGGTTCCCAGTGAGTGTCCCTATGCTCCCCACTGACTCCTACCTGTGCCCTGGGACCCCTTCAGTTTCTCCGTGATCCACTCCATAGCTCTAGCAGAGATTTTTGTCCCAAAGTTTCTATCGAATGGAGAAGGTGCTCCCCCCTGTGGTGAGCAAGATATATGAAATGTAAGTCACACAGCAATTTCTCCAGATTTTTAAAAAAATTATCCAAAAAATAATAACTTACCAAGATCCATGTGTCATTCAGAACTGCAAATATGGTTTGGTTTTGCATATATATAGGACAAGAAGGAAACAGGTCTGCGAGTCCTGGAGCCTCACCTCAGCCTGCTACACAACCTTGTGGTGTTCTCAACTAAACAAGTATGCTGTCACTTTTGCTCCACACAGTGGACACACATGTACATACATACCAAAAAGGGAAAGGGGTGCATGTCTTAGTCAGTGTTCTATTGCTGTGAAGAGTCACCACTACCACAGCAACTCTTATAAATGAAAACATTTAATTGGGGGCCAGCTTACAGTTCAGTGGTTTAGTTCATTATCATCATGGAGAGTGGCATGCAGGCAGACATGTGCTATAGAGAAGGAGCTGAGAGTTCTACATCCTAATCCACAAGCAACAGGAAGTGAACTGTCTCACTGGATATACTTGAGCATTGATGGGAAATGTACTACTGTGTATGTTTATCTTATTGATTATTGAATAAAATACTGTTTGGCCAATGAGACAGCAAGTTAGATGGAACTAGGAGTCAAAGAGGATTTGGGGAAATGTAGTAGAGAAGTGCTGATCCAGGCAGGAAGTGACATAGCAAGGAGACTCATATTTAAGCGTAAGAGAAACAGGAAGGGCCCTCTCTTTTCCCCTCGGCTCCTGCTCCAGCAGCACGATGTGATCCACCAGCTAGGAAGGACGCC